CCTGCTAAGTTTTCTAATTTTTGACCTAAAGTTTATAACTTTTTTCTAATTTTTAACACAAATAACATCATTAGCTAATACTTACAAAATGTTAATAAGCTACTTATTTCTTTACACTGTTTGTAACAAGTTAAAATATCATTAAGATATGGTTAGCATAGGGATAACATCTTGTTAGCAAGGGTAGTAAAAGTGCTAACCCACTAGCAAAACCACAGCTCATCTAAGTACGCCAAGATGCACAACGCTTCTTTTCGCAAGCGGCAGACCGTATCATTGCAGCTGATGAGGGCCATGTCTCCACCAAATTCTGGACGGCCACCCGTCATCGTCTGCCTGGAAAGCAGAAGAAACCCTCGGGATTTTCACCGCTGGCGTGTGAGCAGCTTGATGACCAATGGCATCCTCATTTTGACACCTTGGAACTTGGGGCTACCACGACACCTGACTTGTTGTTGCAGAGCTGCCACTCTCAGCAGCAGGCAGCTCCGAAAATTCACCCTGTTCGACATGAGCTTCCTACCGTCATTGATGTGGAGGTTGCCTTGCGGCGTGTTTCACCGCACAAAAAGGGTGGAGATGATCAGGTCCTTGGCGGATTTTTGCACTGGGCAGCTCCGGCAATTGCCCAAGAAGTCACTTGCCTGTTCGTTAAGATCATTGGTGCACAGGCTGAGCCTCTTGCTTTCAAGGGCGGGCGATTGGCCCCTATCCACAAACGTGGATCTCGTTTGGAGGCTGCCAACTATCGTGGGGTCTTGCTTTTGCCAGGCCTTTCGAAAGTTCTGCATTCATTGTTGCGCCGGCAGATCATTGATCGCCTCGAACCTGTTCGTCCACCTGGTCTCATTGGAGGATTCCCGAAGCAGCAGGTCATCTTTGGTTCTCACCGAGCACGACTGTTCACCAGGGTGGCATCAGCCCATGGCATCAGCTCTGGCATCCTTTTCATTGACCTCTCGCAGGCTTACCATAGGTTGATCCGCACTTTGAGCGTGGGGCTTGGAGACCGAGGTCTACATGACTTTGATGCCTGTATTCGAGCACTGGAACCTGCGGCGCAGTTGGAGTTTGTGCGCTCCGCACTCTCTCCTTCATTACTGGAACAGCTCTTTGAAGGTCAGGCCATCCTTCTGTTGCTCCAGGAGATCCACTTGGACACATTTTTTCACCTGCACCATGACGTTGCTCGGGTCACCCGCACTAGCCGCGGCAGTCGACCTGGTTCGCCTTTGGCGGATGTCATTTTCAGCTGCGCTATGATCCGCATTCATGAGGACTTGGAACGACTGGTCAGATCGCACCCTAGTGTTACCCCGGCAGCTACGTCTATTGGTTTGGCGCCTTCGGTTTCCACCTGGGCTGATGATGTCGCTGTTGAGCTCTGCTGTACTAGTGCGGATTCTTTGGTTCCTTTGGTTGGCGAGATTGCCCGGTCTGTCAGGCGCATCTTTGCCTCCAAGGGCATGTTGGTCAACCTTGGCCCTACCAAGACTAGCGCCGTTCTGACCTTCAAGGGTCGTGGTGCCCCTGCTGCTCGCACTCGGCACTTAGTTGAGGAGAAAGGATGCCATGTCACTGATGATGATTTCGGATCCTTTTGGCTGCCCTTTGTTGCTCGCTACAAACATTTGGGCACGGCATTCTCTACTGAAGGTGACCTTGCACATGAGGTTGCGGAGCGCATTGGTGCAGCGTCATCTGCTCTGGTCTCCATGCGCAAGCCTCTGATTGGCAACCGCAAGTTGAACACGAAAACCCGGCATAGCTTGGCTGAGGCCTTAATCTGTTCTCGCTTGCTCTTTGGTGCTGGTGCTTGGCATGTGCTATCAGGTCGAGTTCAACATCGGCTTCACGCCTTCCTCACGAAGCTCTTTCGGGAGGTCTATGATGCTCAGTTCTGGCGGGCTACTGGAACTCACACCGTGCCAGCCGATGACCAGCTCTATGGTGACAATCTTGTGCAAGAGATTGAGGTCAGGTTGGTTCGTCATCGACTCTGCTATGCTGCGGCTCTCTTTGCACAGGGGTCGTCTGACTTGATTGCAGCTGTACATGCTGAGCAACGATGTTGTCCTGATGCTTGGTTGTGTGCCGTTGAGGCGGACCTTCAATGGCTTCGTGCTTTGATCCCGGATGCACCCTTCTTTGATGACCCATCTTGGGAAGGACACCTGCGGTTCTGGAGGGAACGACCGGGAGCCTGGAAGTTGCTTGTCCACCGAGCGTGCTCCTTGCACCTTTGGCAGTCCCGGACCATTCGAGAGACTTTCAGGTGGCACCGACGCATCATTGAGCTGCTTGAGGCCTCTGGCATGGAGCGCATGGGTCCTTCTCCTGGGCAGGCGTCTTCGGTGGCTTTTCGGGCACCTTTGCGCTGCCATTGTGGACGGTGTTTCGCTTCCACGACTGCTCTTGCGGTCCACAAAGTGCATGCCCATGGGGAGCATGCGCCTGAATGGCATATGGCTCAGGACACTGTCTGTGGTGCATGCCTTCGCAGCTTTTGGACCAAGGCCCGCTTGAAGCAGCACTTGGCGTACCTTCCTCGTTCTGGAGCCCCCAACGCCTGCTTTGAGGCTCTGAGGCAGCGCTCATTTCCCACCTCTTGTGCTTTGGCGGGTGAGCCCTCCAAGATTATAGTGGTCTGGCACGACATGATGCCCTTCCGGTTGCGGGCCCCGTTGGCTTGGGCCTGACCCAACACGACGAGCTGCGACAGCAATGGATCCTTGAGCTTGACTCTTTGCAGGAGCTTCTTTATTCTCGTGGCTTCAAGGCTGAGGGGCGGCGAGTCGATGCAGCTCTCCATCCCACTTTGGCCGAGATCACGACCCTGTGGTATGAGCAGTGGCTCCGAGATTTCCCACATGGCCCTACGGCTGCTTGGCTGCAAGGCGCTTGGCTGACCGCCTTGGCGGATTCGGGCAACGAGGATGCTGCCTTCTTCAGCTTTGGCCGCTGGGAAGAAGCCCTCGTTGCTCTCTACACTAGTTGGGATGACGGTGAAGCGAGCCACTTCGTCGAGGACGCCTATGCCACGCTGTGTGCTGATGTGGACCTACTACAATGGGCCGCCCGTAGCCAGCAGCTTCGTCGTCTCCTCGACTTACCTCCTCCTGGACCTGGGTCGTTGGAGTGGGCACGAACCGATCAGATACGAGCACGACGCATTCAGCCACGGAACCTTGGTGAGCAGCGGCAAGCACGCATTGGCTTGGATAGACCTTTTGCTGATCAAGACCGCTTTGCCATGGACTTCTCCCCGGATCTCGTCCGTGTTCCACCCGGTGGCGCCAGCACCGTGCCCTGCCTACAGCGTGGACCTTTCCGCCGTTGCTTTTTGGTTCGAGATTTTCATTGGCACCTCAAGCACCTTGCCGCACAGGCTGACTTTGACATTGCCATGCTGTCTTTTGACACTGCGGTTGATCCTGTGCATGGTGACCTTCGGAGTGGCTCTATGTCCTGGAGGCGCCTGGAGTCGCTGTACCGTGATGGCATGGTTGCGGCTACTCTCGTCGGTTCAAGCGCGCTGGACGCCTTTGGTGGATGACAACGGACAGGAGCGCCGAGGACCTCGCCCTCTGCGTACCACGGCTCGGCCATGGGGGCTTGATGGCCTCACCTTGCGAGAAATGAGACAACTGACCCAAGGCAGTGCCTTCGCTCTGCAAGTCCTTTGGTGTGCCTGTGCTACTTTGTGCTGGGGCGGTTTCTTTATCTCGGAGCACCCTGCTGCTCCTCGTGATCCTGGCCGGGCTACTATGTGGCGAACGCCGCTCATGCAGACTCTTCTGCAAGCAGTGCAGGCCACGCTGGTGACCATCTCGCAGTGGCGGTGGGGTTCAATGACTCCTAAGCCTACAACCCTTTTGGCAATCAGGCTGCCGTTCCTCCGTGCCTCGATGGACAAGTGGCAGGTTCCAGGCCTCTCCAAACCAGAGGCGTGTGCGATGGGGCTGCAAGATGGCGTCTTCCGGACCGAAGAGATGAAGACGTATAGTGAGGCCCTGTCAGCGGCCTTTGCGCAAGGCATTTTTGATGGCCTGAAGCGAGCCAGCCAACATGGGCAGCTTCGCCTCTGCTCCTTCCCTGAGGAGGTTGAGCGATGGGTCAATCTTTTGTCCCGGTTGAGCGCTGAGATTGATCCCCAGGGTCATCGGCTCCCGGACTTTCAGGACCTGTATAGGTCACGTGTGCAGACGGCGTTTTTGGCCTGTTGGCTGCGCCAATTCAAGCGACGGGCTTGATGCCCTGACTGCCTGCGAAATGAAATGAAATGAAATGAAAGGCTAACAGAGCTTGAAGAACTCTAGTTCGACTATCCCAGTTTGGTACCCCAGGTAGCGGGCTCCTATTTACGGTCCCTCTCACCTCTGTTGGACGTCCACTGAACGTGGACATCGGTTTCACAGTGGCGGAGCCCGGTCGGTCACGTGTGCCATTGCAGATCCATTCCGTCAAGGTCGCTGGGATCTCGCAGTGGTTCCTCAATGTTAAAACATATACTAAACCATGGACCCGAATCCTCTGGAGGGGTCTGGACCTGAACCAATCCCTATGGTTTTGAGGTAAAACATACAAAACCATGGTACATATGGCGCCCTCGTTCCGGGCTGGTTCCTGGTTATATAGTGGCTGGTCACTGGGGAGAGCCCCCCTGCGGTCAAAAAGCTGTCAAACAGTTCACACTACTGGAAGGAATAACAATTATAGTATGATGTCAGTTATGATGTCCATCTCCTGATCTCTTGGGCTGGCAGCTATTCGTCTTCCAGAGCCATCAACATAATCCAAGTGGTGTGACTTAGCCACTCTTTCCCTGAAAGTGGAACATGCTCAATTTCTATTAATAAACAACAACTCAAAACCGGGTTCCCCACATTGAACAAAGAGTAAGTAAGTGCTAAGTTCACTACTGGGCCTTATATCTTGCTTTGCATGTGGCATCGAAGCCCTACCGCGCCCATGTGCGGGCCACGGGAGGACCGGAAAAACGTCTCTGACGAGGAGATGGAGAAACGGCCACTTGGTCACAAGAGTAGACGGGACGAACGCCGCGCTTAGCCGTGCCAAAAGGGACGAAGGGGTGTAGAAGGACAGATCGACGCCGGAAAGTAGCACTCAGACGGCAGCAGATGGTTTGGTGGTTTCATGCAACACCTGGGGACCTGAAGTGTTGGCCTTTCGTCGCATCAAGTCGTCTTGATTCCAACGAGCCTTTTTGTTTGCCGTGCAAACGGCTCGTGGGGGCTTCTTGGAGACGAGGCCTCTTTTCAGGCGAAGCATTGATGAATATTGGAATTCTTGTGTTCCTGTGATTTCCCAGACTGGAATAGTTAGGTCGGGGTGTTCATTGTTGGGTCGTTGTTGCACCCTAAGAATCCGGACCCAAACCCAATGGAAAGGCTTTTGGTTCCTGCCCACACCCCGGTGCAAAGCGTTCGTGTTTGTCCTTTCGCGGTTACCTTAGCGCTCTATAGAGCTTGGGCCAGGTGCATGAGGCGCCTTTTGCCGATGTGTTAGACCTCCGAGCCTCGAATGGGATGGTATAGGACGTCCTGAATGATGTGTTAACTCTTAAAGCCTTGGGAGAGTCGACCCGTTCGTACCTGGGAACATCTGGGAACATGGGGGCTCCAGCGTCGTACCGGTCGGTGGATGCCAGTTCCGTTCCAATCCATGGATATTCCGGACGGAACTCTTGGCCATTCCGTCGAGAGATGGATGGTTTTGGTTTAGGAAACCAGGTCAACTGATCGGTCAACTGATCCAGTCTGGATTCTTGGGTACTCAGGAAGGATGCCTGGGAACGGCTCTACAAGAAGAAAGGCGGGGTGGAACTGGAATCATGGTGGAACCGTTTTTGTGGGGGG